TAAGGGTGTGTTTCTCTCCCATCATTGGGAAAAAAATAGAGTAATTAATAGTATTTTTTGGAGAATGTGTGGTTGAAAAGTAAAGTAACTTTATTGGTTTGTGTGTAGAATATTTTATTGGATAAATGTGTGGTGGAAACTCTTACTATAACAAATAATTTTTTGAAATAATTGTAAACAGAGAAGGGCTTAATTTTTGATAATCCCGGGATACATTCTTAGAAAGTCATGATTATAGAGTATAATCATAATAACATGATTGTAAGGTCTAATCATATGCAATACTTAACAGTACGGGGAACGATTCAATAAATAATTTTTTTTTTATTTTGTCTGAAATGATATAATAATTTATTGGAAAAAAATAATTTAAATGATTCACTAGTCGGGATGATAAAAATGAACATACGATTTATTTATCGATTGGAAGAAGTAGTGGAGGAGCCTTATGTGGAATTCTTTGTGTGTCCTTAGGCTTGGGAAACATCCACCAAAATACCTCCAAATAATGGAGGTGGAGAAGGTTAGACATAATTTTTTTGGCTTGTTTTATTCTCCTTCAGGAAACTATAGTACTAAAGTTAATTTGTTGATCTCTGAAATGGGAATACAACATTCGTAGGTAAAAAACATCATTGTGACAAGAATTCTTGTGGAAAATAGCAATTTCTCCCATTCATTTTCCCAAACTAAGCATGAATTCCTAATCCAATCATTTCAACTTCTTTCCTCCACGGGACGAATTCCCAAAAAAGAATAAGTCTAGCAATAAATTGGTCGAAGAATGAGTATTTTTGTCCCGAGCCTTTCATTCGTTTCTAAAATAAGCAACATGAACACTGAATTCCCAACCCGTATCATTTCAATTTCTTTCCTTCATGTGACACTTACCCAAAAATAATCAACAAGGTAGTAAATCGCCTAGAAAATGAGTCTTTTTATCTTGTGCTGAAAATCGCAGTGACCTCCCAGGATAAAAAAAACCATAGATTTTAATTTAAACATCCACTAAATCGCATAAACAGATGCACAGGAAAATCACATAAATTCACAGCGACCATATAAAAAATTTCCACCGGAATAGTTACATGCAGTTTTTAGATTATACTAAACGGCGATTACTTGAATAATAGCTAATCTTTAATTATCTTGATTGCTACCAAAAGTAATTTTCTGAATATAAATAATATTTGCTTCCCAGCTCCATGTACTGATTTTGATTCTTAATCCATGAACACTCGGAGAAGAGAGAAATCTACATGGGCATGATTATTGAATTTCCCATAAGAAAAGAAGTACCAAAATATAAGGGAAAAAAAAAAGGTTGGCCTCAATACTACAGAAACAGGCAATTCATCTTTGTACATTACTTCTCTAGGCATTGAAAATTTAAAGAGCTGAATTTCATATCTCCATACAGTGGTAATGGGATTATATGTTACTGATAAGTGGTTCAGATATGCTAACTCGTTTAATTCGGCAATTATTTGCTCCAAAGTTTTTGGATGAAG